AACTTGAATGGCGCCGGCGCAACCCAACTGCACCAAGTGCAAGCTTGGTACATTCAAGCCTGCTGGCGCCACCGACAACAAGTGCCGTACTGCCCCGCTGGCTGGGAGACGGGCGTGAATACCACCGGCGCCTCCACCTGCACCGAGTGCGCACGCGGCAGATACAGCGGTGCGGCCAACACACCGCTGTGCACACCGTGTGCCAAGGCCACCTTTGCCGCGGCCACTGGCTCCAAGGCGTGCAAGCCCTGCCCAGCTGGCCAGCTCACCGACTCTGCTGGAGGTGCAGCGGCCGATGGCACAGGCGGTCACTCCTGTACCAAGTGCGGCGCCCGCCGCTTCCGCCCATCCATGTACGCCGCCAACACCTGCACATTTTGCCCCAAGGGCCGCGAGACCAAGCTGGCGACGGGCGCAGCAACCTGCATAGCCTGCATCCCCGGCACCACCCTCGTCTCCACTTCTGACCTCAACTGCACGGCGTGTGCACCTGGCGAGTACGCCGACAAGCAGGGCTCCTCAGGCCCCTGCAAGAAGTGCCCCAAGGGCTACGGCGTCGCTGATGAGGGCAACAGCGCCTGCGACGTCTGCGGCCCCGGCACCTACCAGGACGAGGAGGGCCAGGTTGGGTGCAACGACTGCCCTGTGGGCACCTACACCGAGATGACCGGCAGCACCGAGCTAGAGGCCTGCCTGCCCGCCCCCAAGGGCAACTACGCCCCAGGCACAGGCAACGACGGCTTCATCCCCTGCGAGGGCGGCACCTACCAGGACGAGGAGGGCCAGGGTGCGTGCAAGCCCTGCCCGCCGGGCAACCAGTGCCCTGCGGGGTCGGTGGAGCCCAAGAAGTGCCGCCCTGGCTTCTATGCCGACAGCCGGCAGCCCTTCTGCAAGGAGTGTGCCAAGGGCACGTACCAGGACAAGGAGGGACAGCGCGCCTGCAAGCCCTGCCCCGCTGGTAGCTACTGCCAGGCCACCAAGATGGCCACCCCCACGGCCTGCCCGGCTGGCAAGTTTGGCGTCAAGTTCTCCTCCATCACCCCCAACGACTGCCAGGCTTGCCCCATCAACGTGAGTGTGTGGCACTATTCTGAGCTGGCACCGATTGTTGCTATGCGCGCACCACAGCACTTTTGTTGAGCTGCTGCTGCTGCTGTGCAATGCTGACTGCCGGCCCTGTACCTGTTGCTGATGCAGGCTTACTCCGCCACCTCTGGATTGAACAAGTGCACCAAGTGCGGCACCGGCCAGTGGACAGCCCGCAAGACCGGCCAGAAGTTGTGCTGGTCCACCAGCAAGACCCTGCCATGACGCGTGCGCAGCATCATACTACTTTGTGACTTTGCTCAATTCGGCTCACAATCCTCACTTTCCTGAAATGCGCTTCTCCTCCTTCTTTTCCTGAAATGCCTTCATCTTCTGTTCCATTTTCTTTTTCGTTGTGCATGCTCCCCCACCTTCTGCCCACACTCTTCTTTCACCACTGTTCTCCACTGATCCCAAACTTCACATGATGATGGGTGCCCCCTGGCAGCCTCAGTATCAACTTTTTGCTTTCCTGAGAGGGCAGTTGATTCTCGCCTTGATATTTTTTTAGCAATGTTATCCCAGCCCACCATGTGTCTAATCACGCGGGAGTTGTATGAAAGTATAGTATAGTATACCACAGATCCCGCACATGTTCTAGGATGGTGTACGAGTTTGCTGGTGGATGGTGGTGGGACGGTGGGGTGGCCTCCCGGCAGCGGGACAAGGCGCCGTCACGGCTACCCACAGGTGCACCTGGCCTGCCGGCAGTCCCCTGCTGTGTTGCTACTGGTGTCCGAAATGCATGCATGTTGCGTCCCCCGGTCATGCGTGAAGCAGAGCTCGAGCACACACAGCACGGCGGCGTGGCGGCGCCATTCGCCTGCGCGTCACACCGGCGTGAGGCGGCCAGAGGAGTCTCAAGCAGAGCGCCCGCTTCACTACTTACGCCGGCATCTAGCACCATCACCTAGCCCTTGTCAGGTTAATAGAGGCCCCAAATTGTCGAGAATTGCTGCTGAAATCAACTGAAAGTCTGTGCTGCAAGCTTGTTCTTGCTGAAACCAGACTGTAAGCCCACACAAGCAAGCCAACTGGTCCGGAGTAGCACGAGCGGGCACATGCCCGTCCTGGGTGCCTTCAACCCTGGGCGTCAACGGTTTCAGCTTTCTGTTGAGATTGACATTCAACTTAAGCTATTACAACCCTGGCTTCCAACCCATGCCGGCTCCCTCTGCCCCCTCCAGCCTGGCGGTCGAGACCCTACGGGGGTGAATCCCGTGCATTAAGCTCGTGCGGCTGTTCGTTTGTCCGTTTGACTGTCGTTCAGCGTGCACTAGCCCCCTGTTCAACCAGCCAGTCGCTCTGAGCGCGGGCGCTGCTCAACTCTTACTCTCGCTTGCCAGCGTTCGCAGCCTGGCAACTGACAGCTCGTAGGCGGCAGATCATCTTCACATGCCCCGCGAGGCCGCCTGCAGCTGGCAGCACGGTGGTGGCGGTGGCGGCATTGGGCGCTTCACCCTGCTGGCCGCTGCGTGCCTGCTCTTACTAGCTGGCATCCCTGGCTGCGAGGCGAGGCAAGTCGTGGCGCTGCGAAGCCTCCCTCTATTGCAGCACCGGTGCTGTGGTATGGGCTGGCATGCACCCTCTGCTGCAACCAGCGCGGTCTGCTGGGCCCCCGTCTGTGCTGCCGTCCCGCCTGCCACCCTCCGATTGCTGCGCCCGGCCGTGTGTGCTGCAGCCAGGGTCTCACACGCAAGATTTACTGGAAAGATGGCGTTGCAGTCAATACCATGCCCGATTTTGTGAACTTGGTGCGCACCACAGCGCTTCATTCATTCATTCATTCAGCACACAGCCCGGCCGCCTCTTGCTCGAGGGCGGCCCACTTTGGCCTGGGCCGCCCGGGCCGCCCTCCCCCCCGGGCGCATGTTCGGTGTTGGAGGGGTGTGCCCAGCGATAGGGGGCCCCTGAAGGCATGCGCCGAGGCCGGGAAGCGTGGTTCGGCGCTGCTGCACGCTTGGCGATTTGACCAGAACCACGTGCCGCCGAGCTGCGGCCGCAGTTTCCGGCCCACGGTCTACGGTCGCAGCCACGGGACTCGGCGGCACGGCGTTTGGGCCCAAGCTTGCTGCCGCCGCCGCCGTGCCCGGGGGGCAGCGCGGCGGCGGCGGCACGCTGCGACGCCCCCGTGCTGCCGAGCTGCGGCCGTAGTTTCCTGCCAGAAGCCCACGGCCACAGCCACGGGACTCGGCGGCACGGAGTTTCGGTC